GCCTCTGCTCGACTGGTACCGGCCTCCTACTCGTCCCTCGCACCCTCCGCCCCACCATCGGAGGTTGTGTTTCAGTCACTACGTCTCAAAACTCTAGAACACTCCCCCTCAATCCCTCAAACTTGCCCCCTCTCTCCCCTCTTTAAGTCTTCTAAGTCCCGTATGAAAACTTTCCTCTTCGACCGTGCTTACGGCCACCTTACACTCCTCGGAGTCAGGTTTGGCCACTGCTAAGCACTCTGAGACGCTACCTACCTTGCAAGTTGTTGGTGTTGATCTGGGTTCATTTCATTTTTCCCCACACATGTTCAGTGCAAACTAGCTGCCATAATACGCCCACAAAATACAGTCAATCCACTTTACAGTGTGTCCTGCAAAGCGCTTTGAGACATCGATGACGTGATAAGGCGCTAAATCAAATGCAAGTATTTTTATTTACCTCCTCTGCAAAAAAAAAATTTGGAAAACACATCAAGGTTGTAACTTCCTTTCATCATTAGGAACCAGTCAGTTTCCAATTGCTTTTCCTCCACTGACTGTTGTGGGCACCAGGTCAACAAAGTTGTATTTGCATAGCACGCTTAATTAACATAGAGCAATATCTCAGAGCACTTTACAGAAATGGTGCAAGACAGACACTGTGTAGAATGGACAGCAGTGGGGGAAAGATGCATGTGACCATAGATATGGTCAAAGAGAAAAATTCTGCATACAGCAATGTTCCACAAGCAGCCATGAAACAATTGACTGATTTTATCTGGGGAATTGCTGGCCAGGTCACTGGTGGAAACACCTGTTTTTTTTGGATAGTGTCATAGGATCTATCATATCCATCTGAATAGACAGCACCCTGGTTTAACGTTGGATCCGAAGGACAGAACCTTCGACACAGCACCCACCCAGCACCACCCCACCTCCGGATCAAGCGCTCCTAGACACTACCCCACGTGAAAAGTGTTCTATGAATGCAAGTTATTGTTGTATATTGGACGGTCAGCCTACACTGAGTTCAAAGGCCCCAAACAGGGCTTGAACGCACAAACTTCTAACTCAGAGACGAGTCATACCAAATGAGCTAGGCTGACACCCAACTAATCTCAGGGTGGGGAAGAAGAGGCAAAGTATTGGCACTAAAGTGTCATGCAATGAAAGATTGAATTTTGCCAATCCTCTACGGCTTTGTAATTAGTCCGATACCCGAGACAGTGCAGGAGCACAGTACTCCAAGGCGTGTTGATGAGGAACCAACAGCCTTAGCTTATTAGCAGCACTTGTACCAGTCACTGGCAGGGGCGATTCTTCTGATCCCATAAATTCTGCAAGCCAAAATTCTGATGGCTTGGGTGAACCCAACTGGACACATAGCAAGAAGCTTGTGAGTGTTCGTGATGGTACGCGTTAAAAGTTCCAACAATACACCAATGCCAGTGTCAGCCTGGCTCAGATTGTAGCATTCCCTCTTCACATCCTCTCAGAAAGTTTTGTCAGAACTTTGAACTCAGTCCAGGCTTTCACTCCAATTAATACTTGTGCGAATACCGAGGTTAAACTGAAGTGCCACCTGCCTGTTCAGGTGAACACTATTAAAGATTCCATTACACCATTCACAAAAGGGAATTTTTCCCAGTGTCCTGGCCAACAATCCCCAGATAAAATTAATCGTTCACTTCATAGCTGTTCGTGGGACATTTCTGTGGATGTGTCTAAAAAGTACACAGTCACTGAACTTTACCGTGAATCGCTTTATGATGTGACAAGGCACTATATCAAATGCAAGGGTTATGATTGGGCACACTCATATCAAAGCTTCAACTCTCAACAACCCACACCTCTCAAGCGCTCCAAGATGGGCACTATATAATAATAATAATCCTTGCATTTGATTTAGCGCTTTATCACATATTCAAGACGTCTCAAAGCGCTTCACAGAATATACTGTAAAGTGAAATGACTGTATATTTTGTGGACGAAACACGGCAGCTAATTCCACACAGCAGTGTTGCACAAACAGTCGTAGATTGAATGACCAAATTATTTTGGTCACAGTGCACAGTGTAAAGTGCAAAGGGCATACAGCACAGCACTCTGCAGTTACAACTTATTACTCCAAATCACTGAAAATTATGATAAATCACTAACAACTCAGGTAAGAGCACAGCTCAAAACAACAGCCCCCTGGAGAAGCATCATAAAAGCTGTTCTTGCACCTGAACTGTCTATGATTAGGTAAATGAGTATGTTCATTTGGGAAATAATTCACACGCCACACCAAAACGGAAATTTCCACAGACATACAGAAATCTCAGTGTTTGGGTTGGACACTTAAGCACAGTGATAGGTTTTCAGAGGGCATCATCATGACTTCTGTCACATCGCATACTGCTCAGAACAAGCCCACATGTCTGATAACAGTCAAGATACACAGCTGCCAAAAAAAATATTTTTTTGACAGCAAAAAAGCAAGATTTTCTTACACTGTGAACTGATCTGAAATGCACCTCGGTATTAGGTTTTTCTTTAATAAATAGGAACTAGATAAGATAACTAATATAATGATTTACTTCAGAACAGATACCAGGTTAAAAAGTAATTATCACACAGCCTTAACATTACTTTTAAACTGGCAGTGACACATTATAACTATGTGCATCCCTGTACTTTGAATACTGTTGGACCAAATGAGCCCACTAAATGAAAGAGGCCATGCACGCACTTTAAAGTTTAGAACACAAAACATCAAGGGCAACCTACATTAAATGTAAAAATATTGAATTTTATTAATTGAATTTCTACAGCCTTGGCTGTAACTTAGAATTTTGCACAAAATTATTTACAAAATTATTCAACTACACAAATGCACTACTCACATGTAGACAAGAATTCTGAACCCATTAACAAGGGGTTTATTCTTAGTTCCTCCTCACTAAGATATTAAATGAGAAAACAGGCGTTTCAGATCACTTGCACGAAACTTCAGTGATCTGCAGCCAAAGCACCCAAAAGCTGCGAAACCAAAGATACCACAGCAGGAATTTTATATCTTGCTCTACTAAAAATACAAAAATCATTCTATTCAAGTGACTTGATCATTTATACTGACTTAATTCAAACACTAATTAGCAATGTAACATTGTTAAACCCAAGTCTGCAATAGATATAAACTTGCATGAAATGACCTAGACATTCCCAGAAGCAGCTCCTAAATAGCTACTCCGGGAAATTCACAGGACCACTCCGATCACATTCTTTTGCCCCCTCTCCCTCACCCCCCCCCCCCCATCCCCCAACCAAAAAAAACACCCATTATATTACTTGTTAGTGTTCCCGTTTTCTCAAACTCGTTCTGCTCCATCTTCCCCCTCCTCAAACATCACACAGCCTGGACGGACTCTGCGTCTGCAGCCTCAGTCACGCTCTCGCGGTTACATAAGCACATCAAAAAGCAGCAAAGCTTCAGCCAAGTGAAGAATTAACAGTAAATGACCCGGACTTGAGCCGAGAAGCGGATTCTCCTCGACAAAACGGCAGTTTTTTTTAATAAGTTCGCCTTTCCAGTTCTGCCAGTTTGCAATGATCTCCCGAAGCGATTTAATGAAGATCCTCTTACGAGGCTGTTCTAATGAATCCCATTAAATAAATGGACTTGCTCCTAAGTGCCAAAGCTTCGCGCCCAACGGCTGGATTTTTTTTTAAATACAAGAAAGCATTTGCCGTTTCCACTTTCTTCAATGAAGACTCAATGAAAATAAAGAGTTCACAGTGGGGGGGGGCGGGGGGGGGGTTGGTGAAGCGGCTGGAGCGCACGGCGGTTACGCACGGCCACACAACAAACATAATCACCCTGAGGTCAGACATTTTAATTTATACTCAGAAAACCACCCGTGAACCAGAACCAGTGTGTGGTTTCAAAGTGTGAAAGTAGGTGGTGTGTTTTTTTTTAAAAAAAAAGAAAAGACGAGAAAAAGACGAAGCCACGAACACTGCATATACAAATGCTATACATACACGATTATGGACGTTTTACTCAACACACAGGATATGTATGTGTATGTGTATGCTACACACCACAAATATACACACTACGCACACGTACGTTACATAAATGACCCGGAGTTTGAAGCGTTTCGAGGCGTCTCGGCGACGTGATAAGGCGCTGTAGCGAATGCAAGGCTGGTTATTAATGTCACCACATGCCCAGCCTCCGCCGCTGGATCAGCTGCGGGCGCCCGTTTCGGAGGGCGTGAGGGGAAGGGGGGGGGGAGAGGGGGGAAAGGGCGTTCGGGCTGGTCTGGTCTGTCACCCGCGGCTTTCCGTACCCGCCACTCCGCCCCCGTTATGATTCAAATCCTCGGAGCCGTAACGGAAAACGGTTACCCCGGGCCCGAGGGGCCAGCGTCTGCCTCCCTCCCTCCCTCACTCCCTCACTCACTCAGCGCCGCGGATTGAGGGGCCTTGGACGTGCAGCTGCTCACTCTCCGTACCCACCCACCCTCTCCAGCACCAGAGCCTGAGCCTGGTTCACAGGCCGCTTTGGCTCTCTGCCCCCTCCACTCGGCGGCGGACACGCCGACTGTCAGCCGCTGCTCCTCGGATTCAACGGCATTCGCCGCCCGCCCCCAACCCCTCAACAGACAGACACACGGCCTCCCCGTTTGCTCCTCAAGACGTACCGTCCTCCTCCTCCTCTTCTTCTTCTTCTTCTTCTTCTTCCCACCCTCTCCTCAGCTGAGTTGCTGCCCCCCACCGCCTCCCTTTCCCGGAGCGCTCCCCCAAACTGCGCGGCGCCATTCAAACTGCCGGCGGCCGCGCAGACGGAGCCCGACTCGCAAAACTTTTACCCGCCTTCAGGAGAGAGAGAGAGAGAGAGAGAGACAGGTGGGAAGGGGAGGAGGGCAGCGAGCTGGAGGGCGGCCCGCCTGCTCTTCTCCCCGGGTCCGGCCCATGTGCCGTGCCGTGCCGAGCCGGGCCGGTGGTGCCCCCCCCGGGGTGAGTGCTGTTACCTGAGCTGGGTTGGGTGCGCGGTTGGGACCGGGGCCGTGCCGCTCGCGCCTCGCTCTCCGCCGCCATCTTAGACTGCGCGTCGGGAGGCTCGCTGACGTCACGGCCTGACAGGCAGCCGCGGCTTTATCGGAGTCGCCCCGCCGGGTCCTAGCGCCCTCCTCTGTACCGCTCTCACCGCCCAACCCCACCCACCTCTCCCTCCATCCTCAGGATCATTCATCTGCCCCAACCCCACTCCTCCTTCTCCTCCTCCTCCATCCTCATGATCATTCATCTGCCCCAACCCCACTCCTCCTTCTCCTCCTCCTCCATCCTCATGATCATTCATCTGCCCCAACCCCACTCCTCCTTCTCCTCCTCCTCCTCCTCCATCCTCATGATCATTCATCTGCCCCAACCCCACTCCTCCTTCTCCTCCTCCTCCTCCATCCTCATGATCATTCATCTGCCCCAACCCCACTCCTCCTTCTCCTTCTCCTCCTCCTCCATCCTTATGATCATTACTCTGCAGAACAGATGTTGAATGTTTTTTTTTAAAAAAACAAAGGGACAGTAATGTTATTCATGTGGCTCCTTTTTTTTGTCCCATCCTCATGATCTCCCCAATTCGCCTTCCTCCGACAGCGCGATAATAATCCTTGCATTTGATACAGCGCCTTATCACGCTATTTGCCCATTGCGCACAGCATTGTCCCACAAACAGTCGTGGAGTGAAGTGACCCTTTTTTTTGAAGGAATTATTATCCCCCAGAAATCGATCCGCCGGGTTCCTACTTACTGCTCGGTAAACAGAGGTGTGTGGAGAAAGGAAACTTGCCCAACTTTTTGCCCTACCGGGAATCGAACCCAGGTCTCTCACTTGCAAGGCAAGTGCTCCAACCACTGAGCTACAGGACTCCACCAATACAATAATAATCTTTGCATTGATGTAGCACCTTTCACATCAGGACTTCTCAAAGCACTTTATAGGTTATCCAAAAAGTGTGTATTTCACCATTATTATCATTCTTCACTCTTTCACTGAGTACGAGGTTAGCAAAGTACTTCACTATTTGTCTATTGTCCATTAGGTCTGAGCTACGCAAAGTATTGTGCCGTTACCTGTGATTGTGTTTGTTTCTGGAGTTTGGAATGTTTTGCTTCTGAACTTTGAGTTAAGAGACTGAAGAGTGAGTGGGAGAAGGAGGGAAAGGCAGTGCAAATTGAAGATTGTCCTGATGGCCTTAGACAAAACTAAATTCAACAAATAATCTATCTAATTTCATCCCACCAAACAAAAACAGAGCCAGGGTGAGCGGGGAGAACAAGTTTGGGAGTCCTGTAGCTCAGTGGTTAGAGCACTCGCTTTGCAAGCGAGAGACCTGGGTTCGATTCCCGGCAGAGTGAAACATGGGCGAGTTTCCTTACTCCACAAGCCTGATAATAATCCCTCAAGAAAAAAAATAATAAATTGGTCACTTCAATTCACGACTGTTTGTGGACACTGCTGTGCGTAACTGGCTGTCGCGTTTTGCTCACAAATTCGCTCACAAACGTTGAGACGTCTAGAAGACGTGATAAGGCGCTATATCAAATGCAAGGTTTATTATTATTATGAGTTAGGACCGTAATTTAATACATGAGTGAGAAAGAAGTACGCATTTAATCAAACTTTCATGTAGTTATGTTCCATATGCAAATGTTACATTCTCCAGCCCTCTCAAATGTTGATAGTGACTCAGTTTATGTTTCCACAGCAACGAGAAGCAAGCGCAGTGAGCAGTCAGAAAATGGACTCAAGGGGATAATAAGATTTATAAAATATTATGATAAAACAAATTCATTTTAGAGGTGTTAAACATTCTAATTCATTACTTAAAGGTGCTAAGTAATATAGTATTGTGATTTATGATTTATGCACTGTTCATAAATAGGTCAATTTACCACCCACCAATTTATCTTTTTAAATGGCTGCAAATGACTAGATAATAATTACTCTATAGTTGCAAAAATGTATGTATCTCTTTCCAAGCGCGTATAGCTCAAATATGATCGCATGGTAATATCACTGGATAGTCATCTTGGCCATCATGTGGACACAACTGAAACAGTTGCAAAATAAATATTGAATGTTTTTAAAAAATAACAGAACAGTAATGTTATTCATATTGCAATTTTTTGTTGCAGTGGACATTTCTGAACAAGAGATCTATTCAAGTTGCTAATTCTAAATGCCCTTTATCTGAGAAAAATTAAAGTTTAAATGAAAGACAAATTAGTGCGCGCTTTAGTCTTATACTGCCGTTGTATATTCTATAATTGGAATCATTTGGGGCAGGGCACAAGCCAAAGTTTGCAATGCTTATTACAAAATCAATGTCCCCTTGTATTATGACACTGTTTGAGGACGGGATCATTGCTGCCTTTTAGAAATGTTTTGTCTCTGTGCTGTTTTGGTTTTTCTTATCCTTATTTAATTTCCTGAGGCCTGAAAAGAGTCTATGTTACAACAATACCAATGACCTATTTTATGCTCCTAGAGAATATGGCAATGCCCTATTCAAATTGGCAGAGCTCCCTTCTGTCTTACTTCACCATAAACAGCAGTCAATACTTTTCTGCAGGCATGTAGCTACAGGGTTTCTAACAGAATCATTTCAATTCCGTTGAGTCAAGAATTGTATCTGATTTCCTTTATCATTTCCTGAAGCAGAAGAAATAAGTTTTGTTTATCAGTTTTCTACTGGACATAACAAGATGTTGGAGATTGGAGTGAAATGCAGCTCAGTTTTCTACTAATTAAGGACCCAGGAACAACCCAAGCATTAATCTTGGTTTTATATCTATTATTCATAACCCTCTTTGAAAAGAAAAAAGAGTTTCTCTGGGTATCTTGACCATCAGTCCTCTGGATTATTTCTGGGGCTTATTATTGATTATTATTATAAACGTATTTCTTATTATTATCAGGGTATCATTGTGCACAATTTGGCTGCTGTGTTCACCCACAAAATACACACGATGGGAACCCGGTTGTTAGTAGATTGGCGGATCACTTTTCCGAGGGTAATAATCCCTTCCAAATTTTTTTTCATTTAGTCATTCATTCCACAACTGTAGGACATTAAATATACAGTCAATTCACTTTACACTACAGTATATTCTGTGAAGTGCTTTGAGATGTCTCAAAGATATGATATGGCGCAATATCAAATGCAAGAATTATTATTATTAAAGTGGGGCGAGGCCATCGAGGGATTCGAAAGTGATCACTGGATATTATGTGTTATAAAAGTGAGAGTTGGTACATTGCATGTTGTCATAAAATAAAAAAAGATTCTTGGATTTGACACAGCACCTGTAATATTTAAAAATCTCAAAACACTTCACAAAGTTTCTGTAAAGTTAGTGACCCTGTATTTATAGGTGAATACAGCAACCAATTTGAACGCAGCCATTTGTTTTCTGGAGGATTCTTGTCATAGGACACTTAAAAAACAAAACTCACACTGTACCTGGTGTTGTAAGATGCGACATCTCACCTATGATCTGCACTTGATCAGTTATCAATTTCTGCAGTAATGTTATAATAATAATAATCCTTGCATGTTGTGAAGTATAAGCACTCCCCAAGGAGTCACTCTGCATACAGATCTTGTGTACCAAATAGCAGTTAGTTCAGGGCACTGGTTGAAGCTTAGGAGCAGGTCACTTCCATCTAGCCATTAAAGAATTGATATGCGACATACATTTATCAACGATGGCAGAGAATTAACCAAAAGCTTTAATGTAAACCTAGGGTTTGTGCTGCTCAAACTTTGCACTTATAGATTCAAATCATCTGAATCTCTGGAGTACACGGCATCATTACTCCCAAATAGCTACACTTCTATATTGTGCAACACTATCTTAAAACATTGTGTTCCTGCAGTGACATTGGTAGTGTCAAAATGTTTCCATTTGATTGAATTTGCTTTGCTCAGTACACTAAGTTGGCATCTTCACAGTCTAACAACATAGCAATGAACTTTGTTCAGCTGTCAAGTGGGGTGTGGTTGGCAGATAATGCTTCATTTTTAATAGCTCCTTTTCTGAATCTTTTAACCTAATTAAATCATTGCTTTTTTCAATTGATTCAGTACTTAATAATAATAATCCTTGCATTTGATATAGTGCTTTTCACGTCTTCTAGACGTCTCAAAGCGCTTCACAGAATATACTGTAAAGTGAATTAACTGTATATTTGTGGGCGAAACGCGGCAGCCAATTGCGCACAGCAGCGTCCCACAAACAGTCATGGATTGAAGTGAATAATTTATTATTGTTTGTATTTCTTGAGGGATTATTATCAGGCGGGTGGAGTAAGAAAACTTGCCCAAGGTTTTGCCCTGCCGGGAATCTAACCACTGAGCTGCAGGACTCCACTTCCAACCCCAGTGACATTGTTTTAATTTCAGGTCAAGATGATCTGAAATGAATACAATATTATCAGTGTTGGAAATAATATACAGTACTGACTAAAAGCAGCATGATCTCCTGAGTTTCCAACAAGGGCTTGCAAAGGCTCATCCATGTAATGGGAAGTATAATATTACCTGTTACCTCACAAATATGACTGTTCACTGTAACAGCTTAGATTAGCAGGAGAATCAGACAAACCAGGTGAGAATCATCCACTTTGTTGCAATTGGCAAAGCAGCTGAGAGGAGAAAAATGTTGCAGTGAAATCCACCCAGCACCGGGTGGATGATTAATGCATAGCTTCTCTTAATCTCTGTGCTTAATATACAGTCATCCTTTGCTCTCCCTTCATCTGAAGATGCGGTCTCTTGGTCGAGGAGGATTTCCTCAGGTGCCAGCTGCTTCCAGCACGTTATTCAGGTGGAAGCCTTGACAACAGGTGTTGCCAGCCTATTCAACAGAAGTGGGGGGGAGGGTGGTGGTATCACAGCTGATTGTCCTCACTCCACATTCCTACAATCTTACCTTCTCACGGGAAGCTCTGGATAGCAATCAGGAACGGGAAGTGTGCTTATTTCCTTCCTTCTTAATCCACTGTTTCTGAGGCCAGTTGTAGCACCTAAACTGCTGCCC